TCGAATAAGCTTTCATATTTCAAGGCCGACACTTCTCTTACTGTGCCACTCACTAAACGAAAAGTTCTCATTACTATTCACTTGTTCAGAAAATCGCCTTCTAAATGAATACAATAAAAAATGAAATGAGGAATGAGTAGATCCCACCTCCGACAATTTCTCGGCAGTAGTCTCATAAGCGCCCTTGGCAGAATCTCCAACCCATGCGGCTCCCTAAAAATGTGAAATTAGAATACCGGAGATACAGGAAATTTTTTAAAAAATCTCAAAAACTCGTCTTAAAAAGATTCACATATATAATGAGTCTCAAACAGCAAGGGAGGGGGGGGGCGGTGTAAAGCGAAATTGCCGCCGCCTACAGAAACTCCAATTGTTGCAGGGATATGATTTTCCCGAGGTGCGAGAATTATTTCTCTTCACCTTCTTTTACACCCACCCCCAATCTTCCTTCCCCAAGAAAAACTGGATTACTTCAAGGATATGATTTTCGCCCCTCCCCTTACTCATTTAAACCCAAAACAACTATCGATATCGAGAAAACGAAGAAAACCGAAAATATCAGTAAATGTGGAAATTTCTACAAAAGATGGAAATAATCTAAAAAACTGTTTCGTATTTGCTCCTTCTTACACAATAAATACACGATCACGTTTCATTGTGGGGAGGGTGGTTTTTATGCGTGTAACGAAATTCAAAGTAACCTCAGACACTTTCTCAGTGGTGGTATGGAGCACATCCTTGACGCCTTCACCAAGATGGCTTGCCTTTTCCTTGGGTAGCTGCCGTGAGATCCGACACAGTTTCCTTTGTCTGTAATGGTTCCGTCAAAGGGAAGTAAAAAATTGATTGAATACAAACAGAAAACAAAATCAGAAGAAAAAACAACATTCGAAGAAAAAGTAGCTTAGTCAAAAATGCTGACCTTATCGTAAGCAGACGCCGTGGTGTCTTTAACACCTTCCAATGCACCTCCAACAGCTCCGGTCTGAAAAATGGGACTACTATCTGTGGCAATAACAACTTATTGAAAAATACAAAAAAATATAAAACTAATGGAACATGGAGAATCGATAACATCTATTAGAGCTGCTTAGTGTGTACAGATGACAATATTATTCTCATCCAAGTCTTTCAGCAAGGAAGCTTTGTGACAGACGAAGGAGGATTCCACGATAAAGCAGTCGAGGTAGGCGGAAGTCGGAAGACTGGTCGGCTACCTAAGGGTGCGGGACGATGTGCGTTCCCAAGCGAAAAGCAATGCCCCGCTAAGTGTCCAGGTGGGTTGTCCCGCGCCGCTCCGACCGGCCACGACAGCCTTCTACTTGCTAACCCACTCGCCGCTGGTCCCTACCATTCAAGCAGAAAGAAGCGTTAGGTTGAAGAGGGCACCACCGATGAGAGTCACAGCATGCGGAATATCAATGGGCAAGGAAGGGGCTCCCATTCTCGGGTCCTGGGCTATTATTACTTTTCATCATCCTGGCCCCACTGACCTCCTCTACTTTGCTCTAATGGGCTCCCTCCCGATCAAAAACTCCGCCTTTGATGCTAACAAGGTTAAAAGAGGGAATCTTGCATATCAATCAGAAACGAAGAGAAAGTCTTGAAGTTTCGATAACCAAGAACTACCTACCTAGCAGAAACAGACTTGAACATGACATTTGAAAAATAATTGACTGGCAGGCAAAAAATAACCAGAGATCTGATAACGCTTTGTAAACTGACCGCTGATTCGGCAACATGACCTATTTTTTCGCCAACGCCTGACACTGCACCTTTGACTGAACCCAAAATTCCAAAGGCACCAGACTGAAATTTTCGAGCTTGAAGAAAAGCAAAAAGATAAAATACACCTCAAAAAGAAAAAAATCGATCACCAACCTTAGCCTCTTTAGCGGCTTTTTCTGCTTCAGGTTCGTTCTGTATGTACGTACTGTATGCACCGGCCTAAATCAAAAGAACTGAGATGTGGCAGGGGTAAAGTCAGAATGCCATCTAGTGAACGGGACCGATACTTCCTTGAAAACTCGGGTTCCAGAAGTTTTTATGAAAAATTTTTTCAGTAGTTGCCGAATGAGGGAAATGATCTCGCAGTACAGTAGCGGTCAAAAGTGTTCGCCGAAACGATTTTCAGTGCATTATTTTTTCTCGCTTGAGCAACGCCCTCCAAAGATTGATATACTATGTTTTCTAGTGTTTTTATATCCTCAAGTCTTAAAGAATCAGGATATTCAAAAGAAAATTTTTTCGAGGCCACCATTTTTTTCTGGCAAAAAAAGAGAAGCACGGAAAACCGTTTCGGCGAACACTTTTGACCTCTACTGTACCTACCGACGTATACCATGAAGCCTTTTTCCACGCGTTACTCTTACACCCCAAATTGTGATGACACGATTCATTAAGATGGCTTCTCTTCAGACACAACCATGATTCCTCTCAAGTAGGTAGAGCTGCAACCAGGACGTAATAGTTTTATTCGGCTCCCATCATGGCTATTTTGCCTTCATAGGAGCCTTTACAATCGACGCGCCTTGGTTCTAGACCACTACTAGACCTCTATTTCCAGGAATATTTCTGCCCGAGCCAGGAAGCTATGACAGTGTTTACTGATTACTTGAACTCGGTCCTTCAACCACATCCATTTGATACTCACGCCTGCGCTCTCGTTCCTAGACATCAACTCTTAACTATCGTGATCTCACACTTTCAGAGTTTGCTACACTGTAACTGGCTCACCCTCCCAAGACATCCTCCCTTTATAGGAGGATTGCACGATAAGAAGTTGAAAGAAAAGGAAAATTGCCTAGTTGACAGGCGGACCTCCTGAGGGTGCTGACTGACGCGCAATTGGCAGCGAAAGATTTGACCTCGGCGATCTAGCATGGCTCACTCTTGGCGCGGTTGGCGCGGTACGCCCACCGACTGGGTAACCCCTTACAGTCTGACTCTAGCGGTTTTGCGGAAAGAGCATTAGCGCTGAGAAAGCACGATTAGA